CAAGGGTCTGAGGAAGTACACCTAAGAGCCTTTAATGTTCTTCAGGAAGAGACTGTTGCTAACACAATCTTTGTACATACAATAGTTGCTTAGCAGTTATCCTCAAATTCTACAGTTCCTCAGGTATCAGATATATCCCTAGACACCATCCAAGTTCTTAACCCCTTAATAAAATCACAAAACCAAGCTCAAGGGCTGTTCTTTGACTCCAGTGTGCAAAGTGTGGAAAATGTACGTTGCCTGCGAAGGGATGCATGTGAAGAGCAAATCAAATTACTTATAGTCCACCTAAAGTTTATTGTGCCACAGCAAGATCTATAATAAAAAATCAGATAGAAAAAAAAATAAAAGGAGAAGAGAAATGAACAGCATGAAAAGTATGACAGTGTGCAAGGTATTAACTAGAATATTTAAATAACAGAACCCAGTCTAAAGAACATTTTCCACCAGTAACATCTAGGTAATGTGGTCTTAGACTACTATTTGCAAGGACTCTGAGGGCTGCAAAGTAAGAGACAAAGGGCCTCATGGCTGTGCATCAGGGTACTATAGTCATGACCAATGCAAATCACAATTGTTGTCAAATCCATGGCTTGCAACACCACCAGTGGTTGTTGCTACATTTACTGCAACAAAGGCAAAAAATGCCCATAACCAGAAAAATACCTAAAATATAATTAGTTAGTAATACAGTACAGCTGCTCTCTTCCAGTTTTTCTAAACAAGCTTTGGATTTAATATATTTTCAGGCCACAGAAGGAGACATTGCCTGTGACATCTTTGTGTTGGTGGTGTAAAATACAGGTCCCATGCTTCCTCCTTACACATTCACATAATCCTTTATTACAGAGAGGGGCCTCTGCATACCCATGTTAACAACCACTATGTAAATACAGGATGACTTCCGCACATCGATCTGAAATTCCACTTTGCTTTGTAAATATGTTTGTTGTTTTCTGGTAATAGCTGAGCGATTAGGGGCTGTGGTGCCTGGCAGCCGACATTGATTTTTTGGTATTCAATATCAAATGCAATATATTCTGCTTTTCATCTAAAAGTAATGTCAGGTCTGTACATGGCTTATGGAACTACAGCACTGATTCCAACTGGCCAGGTCCATACACTGTTGAACAAACTGATAGCTCTGATCAGTGGCTGATAAGCGAGTTGCTTTTTGAACCCTTTTTTTATTTTTATTTTATTACTAACAGCAGCTTTAGCCTAATGTCAGCTTAATCTGGGTGACAGGGCTGCAGAACTAAGTGCACTTCTGTGAAACACAGTAGAAGTATTGCCAAAAGAGCTTTGGCCAAACTTCTCCTTTAAATAAATGACTTTTTATTTTTTTGATAGTATAAAAGAACAGGTATAGTGCTTCATAATACATAGTGCTGTAGATGTACACCTGACTGGAGAAGACCTTACTTACAGAGACATGTGGATTGATCCATAGTGACATAGCATAACACATAAGCTAAAGCTCAAGTATTAAAAATGGTTAAACATTTGTCTTACACAAACATAGCTACAGTGGCCAGTACACATGGATATGAACTGTCCAACAGTAGTTTTCCATAATCAGTAGTTTTCAACAATCAGTAGCTTTAATTGATAAACAGTCTATGGAAACTTTCCAGTCTAGTCGATCCTAGCTAGTGATGCCCTCAACCATTTATAGTTTAGATTAACTAAAGTATGCAAACATGCATATGAAGCAAATATTATAAGAACACTGTTATGGAAGAGAATATTAATGCAAAAAAAATTTTTTTTAGACAAAGGTAGGAAAGGGGAGCATAGAAAAGGAAAGGAAAGAAAGACGATAACCAGTCTCACCGCAGTCCGACACCAAATGTGCAACACATTGCTCCCAACAAAGATCCCTCAGAACAGGATGGCTTCCAGGTAGCAAATCATCCTGAAGGTGCCATAGCTTCCAGATTTTATTAAATTGCTCTAGAGTGTTATGTATACATGCAGTTAGATTCTCCATTAGCTTAACATCTTAACATTCCTAAAACTAACATGTAGGTCAAGTGAAGTTGGGGGTTCCACTTTCTTCCAATTAAGGACTACCAGACATCTAGCTGCCATAAGAATTTGCAATAGCTCTTGGCAAGTTGGAAAATCCCAACAGAGTTAAACTCAAAAAGAAAGACTTAGGGATTAGGGGGGATTCTTGAGTCAAATATCTGGTGGGAAAGAGTTTGAACTGATTCCCAATAGAGTTTAATAATCAGGCATTGCCAAAGTGTGTGATAGAGGGAGCCTAGTTATCTCTTGCATCTCCAGATTCTATCACTGGCTGTTGTATAAATAGTGTGGATTAACTCTGGTGTTTGGTACCAGTGGCAGACAAGGGCGGACTGACAACTCATGGGGCCCCCGGGCAATAGGGGATCATGGGGCCCCTGTGTCCTTGCGCAAACTCAAAAAAGCCTATGAAAAAGGTACCAGGGGCATCTCATGGGGCCCCCTACTGACCCTGGGCCCTCAGGTAGTGCCCGAGTTTCCAAATGGTCAGTCTGCCCCTGGTGGCAGAGTATATTGTATACATTTTCTTTATATATTGTACAAATCAAGCTTTTAGCTGCTTGAGACCAAGTGGTTTGCAACACCTCCAGAGTCAATTCCTTCCCCAATATCTTCTCTCATTTGTGCATGTAGGAGTGCTTACCTGTATTTTGTGAGGAAATTATATTTGGCAGTTTGTAATTGTCTGATACTAATCATTTGCATGAAAGTCCCATTGGAACAACATCATCAAAGGGTTTAAACTTGAGAGTTTTGGTGTATTTTAAATAGCCATAAAATACTCAGTTCGGTTGTTCAAATTTTTCTTTGAGATCCACAAACAAAAGTTGCTTCCTAGTTTTGAATTCAGGAATACTAAGCCACCTTGACTGAGGCATAAAGGACCAATTTAGAGATTCTGTGTCTCTTGTATTCCCAAGTGAAATCCAGTCCATCTGGATGCAATTTTGCAAGGTGCATAGCAGGGATGGGAAATAGCAGGGTCATTTTGGCAAAATAGTCTTTTTAATAGAGGCTATTTGGCCAAAGAAAAGTATGGGTCACAGGAAAGCTTTGCCCATACATCTCTTTAACATTCCAGCAAAGAGGTGCAAGAAATACACAGGAGCACCAGACCAAAAGTTTAGAGACCATTTTAGAATAAAATGTACAATGTAACACTTTTCAGGGGTTTGCATAGCCTTTGCAATCAGCTGTAGAAGCTCAAACCTAATACTGTCATTTTAATGTTTGGAATTTTTAACTCATTCAATCTTAATACCTTATAGATTCTTAACATTTTAAGCTCTGATGAAGAGGGTCCACTAGCACCCCTGAAATGAGTTTGTTCTTTTGACAATTTATGATGAAAAAACTCTTCATGGTTTTCCAAAATTTGCTTTGGCTCTCCTAGGCTGACCTTAAAGTTCACATCTAAACTTACATTCATTGTAGCAAGATGTTGGTGCTCAATAGTATTTCACCATAAGCTTCAGTATAATATTCACAATTTAAGATATCTTCCAAGGGCACACATAGGCCTAATTTATTTTATTTAGAAGCTTGCATAGATTATAAAGAGAATAAAATCATGGTCAATGATATAAAGGTTTGTGAGAATAAAATCATGATCAATGATATAAAGGTTTGCAAGGCCTTGTAAGGCAGATTTATTTTTATAACAAACATGTCATACTTACCTGCTCTGTGCAACGGTTTTGCACAGAACAGCTCCACTCCTCCTCTTCTCGGGTCCCCCACCAGCGCTCCTGACCACTCCCTCTTGCCAAGTGCCCCCCATAGCAAGCAGCTTTCTATGAGAGCAAGCAAACAGGCTTGCTCCAGAGCCATTGTTCTGTGTGTCCATTCACACAGATGTGGCTCGGCCCCACCCTCCATTTTCTACTCATTGGCTCACTTACTGCAATTGACAGTAGCAGGAGCCAATGACTCCTGCTGCTGTCTCAGACAATGAGGAGGGAGAGACCTGGGTGACATGAGGCTCTTGTACACATCGCTGGATCAACATGGGGCTTAGGCAGGGGTGGACTGACCATTTGGAAACTCGGGCACTGCCAGAGGGCCTGGGGTCAGTAGGGGGCCCCATGAGATGCCCCTGGTACCTTTTTCATAGGGTTTTTTTTGTTTGGGCAAGGACACAGGGGCCCCATGATCCCCTATTGCCCAGGGGCTCCATGAGTTGTCAGTCCACTCCTGGGCTCAGGTAAGTATTATGGGGGGCTAGGGGGGTGCAGCACACAGAAGCAGGAAGAATATGCATAGAATACATGAAGGTAAAACACCTTGAACCTTTAAAACCACTTTAAAAACCACTTGCCAACCAATCAAGTCCCTGGTACGTCACTGGCCTTCATGTACCGAGATGATGCCTGCAGCTGCAGGAATCATCCCCATAGCATTATTTGCAGCCGAACTAGCCAACCAATCAATCCCCATTACAAGCAGCGGAACCCCAGATCCCTCCATAAAGTGTACCTGTCACATGCCTATTGCTTTCACAAGGGATGTTTACCTACTTTGTGATAGCAATAAATGTATCTTTTTTTTTAAGTGACAGTGTAAAAAATTTAAAAAAAAAATAAAGTGCCCCTCCCCCCCTCAGTGCTTTCATGCAAAGGCGAAGTCGTGTTGGTACTGCACACACGCAAACAACGATCTTCCCACTCATATAAGGTATCATCACGAACGTCAGATCATTGGCAGTAATTCTAGCAGCAGACCTCCTCTATAACTCTAAAGGGGTAACCTGTAAAGGCTTTTAAAGTGCTGCCTATAGATAGTAAAACGTACGTCATTTGTTGCAATTTTAACCACTCGCCTACAGGGCACTTATACCCCCCTCCTGCCAATTTTCAGCTTTCAGCGCTGTCACACTTTGAATGACAATTGCGCAGTCATGTAACACTGTACCCATATGACATTTTTATAATTTTTTTGAGACAGATAGAGCTGTCTTTTGGTGGTACTTAATCACATCTGGGTTTTTTATTTTTTGCTAAACAAACCAAAAACCACTGAAAATTTAGAAAAAAAAAAGTTTTTTTTACTTTTTGTTATACAAATTTGTAAATAAGTGATTTTTTTCCTTCACTGATGTGCGCTAATGAGGCTGCAGTGATGGACACTGATAGGCTGCACTGATTGACACTGATGAGGAGGCACTGGTAGGTGGCACTGATGGGCAGTGACGGGCATCACTGATGGGCACTGAATGGCAGCATTCATATATGGCACTGATAGGTGGCACTGATAGGCGGCACTGACTGGCACTGATAGGCAACACTGATAGGTAGCACTGACTGGCATTGCTAGGTGGCACTGACTGAGTGTAACATCATCTTTTATATTTTACAAAACAATTCGATTATGTATTGTGGGCTTTTTTTTCAAAAAGGTATATTTTTTCCAAAAAAAATGCATTTGAAAAACCACTGCGCAAGTATCGTGTGATATGAAAATTTGCAAAACCCACCAATTTATTCTGTAGGGCCTCTGCTTTAAAAAAAAAAAAATATATATATATATATATATATATACAGTCAGGTCCATAAATATTTGGACATCAACACAATTCTAACATTTTTGGCTCTATACACCACCACAATGGATTTTAAATGAAAAGAACAAGATGTGCTTTAACTGCAGACTGTCAGCTTTAATGTGAGGGTATTTACATCCAAATCAGGTGAACGGTGTAGGAATTACAACAGTTTGCATATGTGCCTCCCACTTGTTAAGGGGCCAAAAGTAATGGGATAAATCAAACTTTCACTTTGTAATACTTGGTTGCAAATCCTTTGCAGTCAATTACAGCCTGAAGTGTGGAACGCATAGACATCACCAGACGCTGTGTTTCATCCCTGGTGATGCTCTGCCAGGCCTCTACTGCAACTGTCTTCAGTTCCTGTTTGTTCTTGGGGCATTTTCCCTTCAGTTTTGTCTTCAGCAAGTGAAATGCATGCTCAATCGGATTCAGGTCAGGTGATTGACTTGGCCATTGCATAACATTCCACTTCTTTCCCTTAAAAAACTCTTTGGTTGCTTTTGCAGTCTGCTTTGGGTCATTGTCCATCTGCACTGTGAAGCGTCCAATGAGTTGTGAAGCATTTGGCTGAATATGAGCAGATAATATTCCCGAAACACTTCAGAATTCATCCGGCTGCTTTTGTCAGCAGTCACATCATCAATAAATACAAGAGAAGCAGTTCCATTGGCAGCCATACATGCCCACGCCATGACACTACCACCACCATGCTTCACTGATGAGGTGGTATGCTTAGGATCATGAGCAGTCCCTTTCCTTCTCCATACTCTTCTCTTCCCATCACTCTGGTACAAGTTGATCTCAGTCTCATCTGTCCATAGGATGTTGTTCCAGAACTGTGAAGGCTTTTTTAGATGTCGTTTGGCAAACTGTAATCTGGCCTTCCTGTTTTTGAGGCTCACCGATGGTTTCCATCTTGTGGTGAACCCTCTGTATTCACTCTGGTGAAGTCTTCTCTTGATTGGTGACTTTGACACACATACACCTACCTCCTGGAGAGTGTTCTTGATCTGGCCAACTGTTGTGAAGGGTGTTTTCTTCACCAGGGAAAGAATTCTTCGGTCATCCACCACAGTTGTTTTCCGTGGTCTTCCGGGTCTTTTGGTGTTGCTGAGCTCACTGGTGCGTTCCTGCTTTTTAAGAATGTTCCAAACAGTTGTTTTGGCCACGCCTAATGTTTTTGCTATCTCTCTGATGGGTTTGTTTTGTTTTTTTAGCCTAATGATGGCTTGCTTCACTGATAGTGACAGCTCTTTGGATCTCATCTTGAGAGTTGACAGCAACAGATTCCAAATGCAAATAGCACACTTGAAATGAACTCTGGACCTTTTATCTGCTCATTGTAATTGGGATAATGAGGGAATAACACACACCTGGCCATGGAATAGCTGAGAAGCCAATTGTCCCATTACTTCTGGTCCCTTAACAAGTGGGAGGCACATATGCAAACTGTTGTAATTCCTACACCGTTCACCTGATTTGGATGTAAATACCCTCAAATTAAAGCTGACAGTCTGCAGTTAAAGCACATCTTGTCCCTTTCATTTCAAATCCATTGTGGTGGTGTATAGAGCCAAAAATGTTCGAATTGTGTCAATGTCCCAATATTTATGGACCTGACTGTATATATACATATACACAGGTGAAACTCAAAAAATTAGAATATCGTGCAAAAGTTCATTTATTTCAGTAATGCAACTTAAAAGGTAAAATTAATATATGAGATAGACTCATTACATGAAAAGCAAGATAGCTCAAGCCGTGATTTGTCATCATTGTGATGATTATGGCTTACAGCTAATGAAAACCCCAAATCCACAATCTCAGAAAATTAGAATATTGTGAAAAGGTGCAATATTCTCGGCTCAAAGTGTCCCACTCTAATCAGCTAATTACAGTCATGGCCGAAATTGTTGGCACCCTTGATATTTTTCCTGAAAATCAAGTATTTCACACAAAAAAGGTATTGCATTAACACATGTTTTGCTATACACATGTTTATTCCCTTTGTATGTATTGGAACAAATATAAAACAGAGGCAGAAAAGCAAATATGACATAATGTCACACAAAACCCCAAAATGGGCTGGACAAAAGTATTGGCACCCTTAACTTAATATTTGGTTGCACACCCTTTGGAAAACATAACTGAAATCAGTCGCTTCCTATAACCATCAATAAGCTTCTGACACCTCTCACCCGGAATTTTGGACCACTCTTCCTTTGCAAACAGCTCCAGGTCTCTCTTATTGGAAGGACACCTTTTCCCAACAGCAATTTTAAGATCTCTCCACAGGTGTTCAATGGGATTTAGATCTGGGCTCATTGCTGGCCACTTCAGAACTCTCCAGCGCTTCTTTGCCATCCATTTCTGAGTGCTTTTTGACGTATGTTTGGGGTCATTGTCCTGCTGGAAGACCCAGGATCTTGGACGCAAACCCAGCTTTCTGACACTGGGCCCTACAGTGCGACCCAAAATCCTTTGGTAATCCTCAGATTTCATGATGCCTTGCACACAGTCAAGGCACCCAGTGCCAGAGGCAGCAAAACAACCCCAAAACATCATTGAACCTCCACCATATTTTACCGTAGGTACTGTGTTTTGTTCTTTGTAGGCCTCATTCCGTTTTCGGTAAACAGTAGAATGATGTGCTTTACCGAAAAGCTCTATCTTGGTCTCATCTGTCCACAAGACATTTTCCCAGAAGGCTTTTGGCTTACTCAAGTACATTTTGGCAAACTGTAGTCTTGCTTTTTTATGTCTCTGTGTCAGCAGTGGGGTCCTCCTGGGTCTCCTGCCATAGCGTTTCATTTCATTTAAATGTCGACGGATAGTTCGCGCTGACACTGATGCTCCCTGAGCCTGCAGGACAGCTTGAATGTCTTTGGAACATGTTTGGGGCTGCTTATCCACCATCCGGACTATTCTGCGTTGCAATCTTTCATCAATTTTCCTCATCCGTCCACGACCAGGGAGATTAGCTACAGTGCCATGGGTTGCAAACTTCTTGATAATGTTGCGCACTGTGGACAAAGGCAAATCTAGTTCTCTGGAGATGGACTTGTAACCTTGAGATTGTTGATATTTTGCCACAATTTTGGTTCTCAGGTCCTCAGACAGTTCTCGTCTCCTCTTTCTGTTGTCCATGCTTAGTGTGGCACAGACAGACACACAATGCAAAGGTTAAGTGAACGTCTCTCCTTTTTATCTGCTTTCAGGTGTGATTTCTATATTGCCCACACACTGTTACTTGCCCCAGGTGAGTTTACAGGAGCATCACATGCTTGTAACATTCTTTTTTATCCGCAGTTGTGAAAGGGTGCCAATACTTTTGTCCAGCCCATTTTTGGAGGTTTGTGTGACATTATGTCGAATTTGCTTTCTTTCCTCCCTTTTTTTGTTTTGTCCCAATACACACAAAGGGAATAAACATGTGTATAGCAAAACATGTGTTAATGCAATACGTTTCGTGAGAAATACATGATTTCCTGGAGAAATATCAAGGGTGCCAACAATTTCGGCCATGACTGTAAGTCATAACACCTGCAAAGGGTTCCTGAGCCTTTAAATGGTCTCTCAGTGTGGTTCAGTAGGAATCACAATCTTGGGAAAGACTGGTAAAGGTAATTGCAAAAGAAGTTGGAAATATTTTTATTGAAAAAAATATCTTGCAACCAGCAACATAGTTTTATACAAAAGTAAAAAAAAAAAAATAACATAAACCACCTACTTGGTATCAGACAAAGAAAAATACTGGATAACTCTCCCATGACAAATATAAACAATAGGACAGCCCTATATATCATCCATATTTATATATACCTTACACAGCACAGATTTACTTGCTCAAGTGTTTTATGCCTTTCTGGCCTGCCAACATATATAAACAACCTTTCCTTTGTGAGGAAAAAAACCTCACTTATTGTAAATTAGCAGCCTATATACAATTTTAAAGAAAAAGCCTAATACTCTACCCAACAAAGGCTAAGTAACCTAGACCTTCAGGTATACATAGCCATTTAAAAAAAAAACAAACTTCCAACAAAATCTAAGGGAGTGAAAGAAGAGAAAAGACACAGGACAGCAACCACACCAAGAGATCAACAGACTGCTGCTACAGGCCTGATATTCCTCCACGCCTCTATCCAGACCCTTTGCAAAAGAAGGTGGATGTTCCCAAAGTGCTGTATCAAAGCACATTAATAGAAAGTTATGTGGAAGGGAAAAGTGTGGAAGAAACAGGTGCACAAGCAGCAGGGATGACCGCAGCCTGGAGAGGATTGTCAGGAAAAGGCCAATCAGAAGTGTTGGGTACTTTCACAAGGAGTGGACTGAGGCTGGAGTCAGTGCATCAAGAGCCACCGCACACAGACGGATCCTGGACATGGGCTTCAAATGTCGTATTCCTCTTGTCAAGCTGCTCCTGAACAACAAACAACGTCAGAAGTGTCTTATCTGGTCTAAAGAAAAACAGACCTGGTCTGTTGCTCAGTGGTTCAAAGTCCTCTTTTCTGATGAGAGCAACTTTTGCATCTCATTTGGAAACCAAGGACCCAGAGTATGGAGGAAGAATGGAGAGGAACACACTGCAAGATGCTTGAAGTTTCCACAGTCTGCGTTGATTTGGGGAGCCATGTCATCTGCTGGTGTTGCTCCACTGTGCTTCATTATGTCCAGGGTCAACGCAGCCGTCTACCAGGAGATTTTGGAGCACTTCATGCTTCCTTCCGCAGA